ATTATTATTATTATTATTATTATTATTATTATTATTATTATTATTATATTCAGATACTGGCAGAAGAGAAAAAAGACTGACTCCAACACAGGAAATACCGTAACGAATGTCAAGGTTTGTAATGCCTCCTTTTCTACTGAAATTCAAAGCAAGGGCATTTTGATATCGTGCCACCAAAACAGAGCATCTCAAATGGATGACTGATCAGGCAGGTGGGACTAAATAGCCCACTGTTTCTTTTCTCACACTCATCTCCTGCAACTCAATAACTCGGTAGGAGTTGTGCAAAAAATTGGGAGATTCCTCTTTGAGGTCCACTAGACCAGGCGGTCCTCCAACCTTGGCCACTTTAAGCCTGGAGGACTTCAACTCCCATTGCTGGATGGGGAATTCTGGGAGTTGAAGTCCACCAGGCTTAAAGTTGCCACGGTTGGAGAGCCCTGCACAGAGCAAGCTGTGCTCTTCCTTCAGCGCTGGCTGGGCTTCAGCTGTACTTCCCTTTAGCCAAAGCGACGGCCTCGCCTCTTTCTGACCTGCAATCAGGAAGTCTTGAGATGCAAGGCATTTCCCCTACAAGTTGGGGACAATGTGTCCTCACAGAGTTAACCTATTGCATTTGGTTCTTGGCTTCTGTCCCATCTCTCAAGTGGTTGAGATGAACTTGATTTTGCACGATGAGACCAGGCCTGAATTGCAAGTGGCATTCGAAGAGAAAAGGGGCTTTATTATTGGCCCCGTTGTCTATGGAGTTTCCCAGTCATCCGATTGTCCCAAAGGTGCTTTTTCAAGAGGCAACTGGACTTTCTGTTTTTATCCTTGAAGATGTTTCATTTTTTCATCCAAAAAACTTCTTCAGTTCTGACTGAATGGTGCGGAATGGAAGGATTTATATTCTTTGCAGTCATCTGGGCATTAGCACCCTTTCTTTCATTTTATATTAAGGTTTTGTTTTATTGTATAAAATATGAAGAAGAGAAGAAAAATAGGAAATTATGGGAAGAAAAGGGAGCTGGGGAAGGGGGGTGTGAGATACAAGGGAAAAGAGAGAGAGCAAAAAAGGACATTGACTTCTGACTCTTCTTAGCACAGTACAAGGTAAAAATACTCCAACTTCAACTTTTTGCTTTACCCAGCACTCTTTCTGACAGTTGTTGACACCATTTGGGGATTTATCTATGTCTCAGGGTCACCTGAATGGATGTAGAGCAATGGTGGGATTGAAAATTTTTTATTACTGGTTTTGTGGGCATGGCTTGGTGGGCGTGGTGTGGCTTGGTGGGCGTGGCAGGGGAAGGATACTGCAAAATCTCCATTCCCTCTCCACTCCTGGGGGAAGGTTACTGAAAAGTCCCATTCCCTCCCCACCCCACTAACCTGCTTTCCAGCTCCATTCTCCTGTGCAGGGCAACCAAAGAAGACCCAGCTGATCAACTGGGACTCAGGAGGCAGATAATAATTGGGAGCGGGGCCAGTCAGAGGTGGTATTTGTCACTTCTCCAAACTACTCAAAATTTCCACTACCGGTTCTCCAGAACTGGTCAGAACCTCCTGAATACCACCTCTGATATGGAGCCTTTTTGGAATTTGCTGAAAGGACTGTGTTGTAAGCCAGGGGTCACCAACCATTTGGACCTCAGGGACCACCAAACTCATCATTTTAAATACCATGGACTAGAGACCCTGGGAAAGTCCCCCAAAAAGTCTGCAGGAAAATTCTCCACCCCGTTTTCCTACCGATCGATCATTCTTTATTTGGGATTGCAGGATATTATCTCCAGCTATGTTCCTGGGGGGTGGGGGGTGGGGGGTGGGAGAGAGAGAGAGAGACAGAGAGAGACTTTTGGCTTCATGCAAGGAAAGCAGCAGAAGCAGCAGAAGTCTTTCTTTTTCTCCCCCAAACTCTGCCAGAAATGAGTGTTTGTGAAACTTGTCACGCCGGTGCAGCCTCTTGGAGCAGGAGGCCTTGCAGGGTCCCAAAGACTCATTTCTGGCAGAATTTGGGGGAGAGAAAGAAAGACTTTTGCTGCTTTCCTTGCGTGTAGTCAAAAGCAGAAGAAGAAAGAAGCGGAAAGAAGCAGCCCGGTGGCCAGGCAAGGTGCGTGGGGTGAGTGGGGCAACTTTCCCCCCTCCACCCTTTCCCTCCTCCCCCCACTACCTCGTGTTGTTTGCAATGCAAGCGATGCTAGCCTTGTGTTTCCACAGGCCATGTGGGCGGCGCAGCCTTGTGTTCCTGCGCAGCCTGAATTAATTGCTTTGGAGGTTGTTTTAGGGGTG